TTGAAAACCGAAATAATGCATATGAAAAACCCGAAATAATGCATACATGCACACTTTCGTTTGAAAACCGAAATAACGCATATGAGAAAAACGAAGTAATGCATACATGCACAGTTTCGGTTCAAAACCGAAATAATGCATATGACAAAAACCGAAGTAATGCATACATGCACAGTTTCGACTCAAAACCGAAGTAATGCATATGACAAAAACCGAAATAGTGCATACATGAAAACGAACTTCTCTCTGAGTAGGCGGCCTTCGGCCGCGCTTAGGGATTATAACCCTTACTAAGTAGAATTCTCCTTTCTGTGTTGCCGGAAAAGGGGGCCGGAAGTACTTTTGCGCAGAACTTCTTTCTGCGTAGGAGGCCTTCGGCCGCGCTTAGTGATTATAACCCTTACTAAGTAGAACTCTCCTTTCTGTGTTGCCGGAAAAGGGGACCGGAAGTATTTTTGCGCAGAACTTCTTTCTGCGTAGGCGGCCTTCGGCCGCACTTAGGGATTATAACCCTTACTAAGTAGAATTCTCCTTTCTGTGTTGCCGGAAAAGGGGCCGGAAGTATTTTTGCGCAGACCTTCCCTCTGCGTAGGCGGCCTTCGGCCGCGCTTAGGGATTATAACCCTTACTAAGTAGAATTCTCCTTTCTGTGTCGTCGGAAAAGGGGGCCGGAAGTACTTTTGCGCAGAACTTCTTTCTGCGTAGGCGGCCTTCGGCCGCGCTTAGGGATTATAACCCTTACTAAGTAGAATTCTCCTTTCTGTATTGCCGGAAAAGAAGGGCGGACGTATTTTTGCGCAGAACTTTTCTCTGCGTAGGCGGCTTTCAGCCGCGCTTAGGCATTAAAACCCTTACTAAGTAGAAGTAAATAATTCATATTAGAAAAAACGAAATTATCCATATGCACACTTTCGCTAGAAAACCGAAATAATGCATATAACAAAAACCGAAATAATGCATACATGCACAATTTCAGTTCAAAACCGAAATAATGCATATGGGAAAAACCGAAATAAAGCATACATGCACAGTTTCGGATGAAAACCGAAATAATGCATATGTGAAAGACGAAGATATGCATACATGCACAGTTTCGGTTGAAAACCGAAATAATGCATATAACAAAAACCGAAATAATGCATGCATGCACAGTTTCGGTTGAAAACCGAAATAATGCATATGAAAAACCCGAAGTAATGCATACATGCACAGTTTCGGTTGAAAACCGAAATAATGCATATGAGAAAATACCGAAATTATGCATATGCATACTTTCGTTTTAAAAGCGAAATAATGCATATGAAAAAAAACGAAGTAATGCATACATGCACAGTTTCGGTTTAAAACCGAAATAATGCATATGGTAAAAACCGAAATAAAGCATAAATGCACAGTTTCGGTTGAAACCGAAATAATGTCTAAATGCACAGTTTCCATATGCGCAATTTCGGTGCCCCGGATTAATGTACAAAATATTCATGATATACATATTGACAATTTTAACAATTAATTTATTTCGTTACCCATATCTCAAACTTTTTGTAATATTAAAAAAACTAAACAACATTTCGTAAATATTTCGAGCTTTTTAATTAGATTTCTTAGAAAGATTTTGAGTGTGCAGGTTTGTAGCGCATTGGATTCTAGTAGAAAAAGTGCAAGCCATTTGGCTAAAAATTATCATTAATTTTTTTGAAGGTTAATATTGTTAACCATTTTAAAGTTATTAACAGACAACTTATATGGGGTATAGTTCCTTTGTACGAGCAATTACACGGTCGAAAACGCATTAAATCGCCAGTTTTTACTTTTAAAGCGCTAATGAAATATATTATTTAACTAAATTATTCAAAAAGCACAAATTTTTTACAACGATAAGTTGTTTATTTTGTTATTAAAAAGTGAACAATACTTCTGTTCGTCGAGTAAAAAATTTGTACGAATTTGTACGAATTATAAAGATTTTTTGTTCAAATCGCGTTCGAGCAGACCAAAAAATTATCAATCACTCAAAAATTGAGAGCGGAAAGTGGCAGGGAGCTTGGAGAGAAGTCGCAAATTCTTGTTGGCAAAAATTTAGTCAGTAAGAATTTGCAATCACGAAAAATATACATACATACGATTGTGGCAAATGGTTGCATTTTTGTCGACGCTAATTTGAATAAAGGAGTTCGGTACATTTAAAAATGTATAAATGTGAGCGATTTTCCAATGAAGAATGTATATAAGTAAATACTTGTTTACTTAATTAATGTAGTTAATTCCAAAGATTTGAAATGTACTCGGCTGAAAAAATTTTATTCGTTATCGGAATGCAATCGTAATCATTTGCTAATTTTCGAGTGAAGTATTTTGGAGGGATTTTGGAGGAAAAGTGAGGTGATTATCGTAGTGACTACTTTGAAACACAATTATGACCGTTGGGTTATTCGATTTAATTTATTTATTAGCTGATTTGTTAATCGATAATTTTTTATATTAAAATATTTCAATAAACAGGCATATGCAGCGATTTCAAATAATTATTAGGGGGACAGGTAATAAGATCAACGGAAATAAGGTCAATTGACTTTATTTTCAACTCTGGTGCGAAATAAAGTCAATTGACATTATTACCTTTTCAAAAGCGAAATAAAGTCAACAAAAATTTGGAAATAAAGTCATTGGCGCTATTTCCTCATTCAAATGGAAATAGCGTCAACAATGCTTAAAGTATGTCGATTCATAGAAAAAAATGTTGTTCGTACAATAAACATTGCCCCGTAAGTGTTGTTTTTTAATAGATGAAAAAGGTTGTTGCCAAATGCTCAGTGTTGTGATATTAATCCACACACAATCATGAACTACCACCAATTGATTTTATTAAAAAAAATCTAATTACGAATATCTAAAAACACGATGCGAAAAACTAAACGCCTGCGCACAGCTGGAATACGAGAAATATTTGAAGAAATAGTGTAGAAATGATCCATAACTTGCAAAACATGGAGGAGCACTGAAAGAATTCTGTGTTTTAAATTAGCATATTTTGAACGAATTCGGAATGTCTAAGGTGGTAAGGTAAGGTAAAGAACCCAACCTTTCAATAAGGAAACAATTTTAGAAAAAAAATTTTCTTACACTGTATTCATGTCTCCGCCAGCAATTTGTGACGACATCATTTAAAAGCAGCTAAGGAGAACGACGACACTATTTATTAGATGGCACATTCAACGAGCCAATGTGCCAAAATGCGGGTATAAACAATTATTGATTATTTAATATCGGAACCGAGATCATATAAGTTAATTGATTGGTTTTCAAACACTTTTGAAACACAAATTACATGCTTTTTTACTGCAGACAAGTTGTTGCCCCAAAACACGGCAGAAATCTTCCAATCAGGGCTGCCAACTCTCCTTAGTTATGAGGTGCCATATTGAGGATAAATAGTGCCAAAATGTGCCAAATAGAAAAATAAAAGTGCCAAAAAAGGTGTCATTCCAGTTAATCATTCACATTTAGCAATAAAATAAAACCAAATTTTCCAAACAAAAGTGCAATGATAAAATAAGATAAATCAGTTGAATAGCCTCTATAAATTAGAAAATTTTAGTTGACAAAAAGAAGTGCACGCAAACGATTTCACAAAAATGTATTGTAATGTTATTTTTTTTTTACAAAAGTGCCATTTTGGCACTTTGTGCCAAATTGAAAAATTAAGTACCATTTGAAGTAAAATAGGAACAAATGGCACGGTTTGAGCCAAGTTGGCATCCCTGCTTCCAATAACTTACAAATATAAAAATGTGAAATATCGAGGGCTTGAATTCATTAATATCCTCTATCTGCTAAACTAATTTGTGTGTCTGGGACTTATTACCTGTCGTTATATAATGTAGCATTAATATCACCGATGACATTAAAGCTTAGGTGAATTTTTATATCAGAATCTCATCTTTGGGAAAAGTGTGCAGATAGAGGGTATTATTGAATATAAGCCCTCGATGTTTAAAATATATAAAAATTTTACTTCAACGTATACAAAAAATAAATCTACCTGCGTTAGAGCACGTCGTGAGACGGGGAAGGGGGGGCGGGGGGGGCGCACATTCAACGAGCCAACGTGCCAAAATGCGGGTGTAAACAATTATTGATTATTTAATATCGGAACCGATTTAATAACCGGAACCTTTTGAAACACAAACCCGCGGCGTAGCGTGACGTGGTGTGCACGCCGGTCGCGTGGGGTACGCGGGGCGCGAGCGCGGGCGCGACGTTCGCGGTGTGGCGCGATGACGCGGACCGCCACGAAACTAAGCAAATTTAGTGTTTGAAAGAGCAATAATGTCAATTGATTTTATTTCGAAATAAAGTCAATTGACCTTATTTCCGTTGCTCTTATTACCTGTCACCAATTATTTGGGGTCTTTTTAGTTTGTTGCGTTACAATTTAATAAGAATTGGTTTCCTATGTTCTTTGGTATGTGGTTAATGGCCAGATGCGCCGGCGCAATTTGAGACGCTGGCATCGCCGCTGCCGCCGATTATTTCTAAGATTGACGACGCGCCGCCGCTATTTCTATCGGCCTAAATCTCTAGTACATGTACTTGAAAATAGATGATTGCGTCACGGTCATGCCGTTTGCAGAACTTTTCCTTGCGTGTGCAACTCAAGCCGACTGCCGACCGACGTGTTTATTCGTACCGAAATTTAAGCGATGGTAAACGAACCAGCCCTGATTTGTACTTAAGTATGTATCTGTTGAATTATTGAACAGCCAAATATTAATAATTTCACGGAACCCTGGTGACTTTTGCACGGAACCCTTCGGTTCCGCTGAACCTATTTTAGGAAGCCCTGGTTTACAGAATTGTGAAAACACTATATTTGATACGTGCGCCGGGTATATAAAGTTCGGTTTCGTCCGAACTTATACTTCTTTACTTGTTTAATATTGAACTGTACATTTAAGTCCTGATTGTAATCCGAGTACACAAAAAAGTCAGTAATTAAGGTAGTCTTCCAATATTTCATTATTTTCTGTCCACAGCTGATCTTGGCACAATTGCAAATGGGCTTGACCTGCAGGGACCAATATTTCTTCATGAGCCACCACATCGCATCGAATTTTCAAATAATACTGGAGGTTTGATTGAATGCTCTGGACATGGTAGTCCTCCTCCAGAGGTGAGTATTGGTGTTTTCGTTTCTACCAAAAATTTCGACTTTTGATTGCCCTATTTGTGGTCGATTTTAAAATAAGGGCACACAGTGAGAAAATTTCGGGTTCGTTTCTTAAAATTTCACAGTAACACTGTAAGGAAAAAAGGGAAATTTCTGCCCTTTGAAGCTTTTTCAGGGGAGATGGTTGCTCTGAAAATCAGATGGTTGCTTAAAACCACAATATTATGAAACGTGTGAGCTAGACAAGGATAAGAAGGCAAAACCATGCCCTTTTCCGGGGTTGAGTGTAATCTCAAACACATTTTGCACCGTGCAAGGTCATCATTTTCTGGAAGCAACGAAACCACCATAATTCTTCTAAATATTGGAATTGATTCAAAGCATGTTTTCTTAATAATTTTATTATTTGCAGGTGGAATGGACCCCAATACCTCCACAACAAGATATGGTATTTACACTCTCGAATGGTAGTCTTATGTTCTATCCCTTTACAGCGGAGAAGTACAGACATGAAGTACATGCTACAGTTTACAGGTATATACACACATTCGAAATCTATAATAGTATCATTACTGATTTTAATCAAATTTTTCTATAAGAATAAGCGTGTTTTTTCTACACGCATACGTATCTGCGGTTAAAATTTGTATGGAGCAGTAAGCGACAAACTTTATGAGCGGTTATGAATAGTTGTCGATAAAATCAAAATTACTTGTTTTCAAATGGAAATTGTCGATGTTTGTTTTTTTACACGTTAGGCGTAGATGTATATGCGTGTAAAAAAACACGGCTAATATATATCCTACATATGTATATATGAATCATTTACAAACAAAGTGAACATGGCAGGTAGTTCTTTATATTTTTTTAAGATTGATAAATTTATCCTCTGAAATCGTTTGCTGAAAATTTGTGCTATATCGCTTGCAAGCTCTTCAAAAATTATTCTTATACCTTTCATGAGCATGAAATGGTATAATAACCAGGATTGCCACTTTGGTAAATTGTTAGCAAAATTGGTAGAACAAATTTGGGTTGGTAAAAAGATAACTTTTTCATTTTGGCAGGTTTTTGTTGAAGTATTATGTTTGAAAAACAAATAAAACTTTTCGATCCCGCTTTAGTTTTCGTAATTAAATATCTTTATTTTATAAATTCATTTCCAAAAGTGTATTTTAGGCTATTGCGTTAATTTTCGAACGTTTTAAGGCGGATTAATCGTTCGTGTCCGGACACTTTTTGTTAGTAATTTCACGCGCTCCATTCCCACTCCGTCTCATTGAGAGAACGACAAAAATGTGCTGAACACTAATTGTTCGAATCAAATTGATTTCGATTTTCTGTCCGAACGATTTGATGATTCGGGTTGCCGCGTTCTCCTTTATATACGTTTGCAGCGAATTGCTAACTTCAAAATCGCATGTAGGCAACAAGATCATCAGCTGTTTGCTTGAGAGCAAAATAAAATGTGCCGAACTGAACGAAGAACCGTATTTCAGCACCCTCTCTGGCAAAAAGGTTTTTAGAGCAAATAAAAAGTTGTCCGGACACGAACAGTGAGCCCGCCTTTATTGCACAAATTTTATATACCTACTACATATGCATGTAGATCGATAAAAGGCGAACATATCGTGCTCCATTTAAAACTCATATAACTGGAATCCTAAGGAGCTTCCGATTGCCTACATATTTTAAATGATTCTTTAGATCAGGGGTTTCCAAGCTTTTTTCACCTCGGAACCTTTGTTGTGCTAAAAAAATTTCGCGGCACCCCTACTCTTCAAATGTATACGAAAACAAGAAAACACAATGAAAACTTTATGCTCCTTTAGCTTTAATGTGAAGACTGAAATTGTTTTGATGATTTCATTGTTTTCTTTAAGTTTATTGGGAGCTTTGACAATTTTACCCTGAAATCATTTGACGCTGAAAGCTTGCTGATGTATTTGTTTTTAACCGACTTTACAAAAAGGAGAAGGTTATCAATTCGTCGGAATATTTTTTTTATTATTTTTTTCTATGTATTGTGGCGAACACTGCGGCAACACAAAGCGAACAACGAAAATTAGCAGAATGTTCGAGGAATGACGTGGAATGTTCCACAAAGAGAAACGTCAAGTTGGATGAACACTGCGAACAGCGAGAGAAAGAGAATGAGCGATAAACTTCAGAACGTTCTAGAGTTGCCATAAGTGCGAGCGCAGGTATATAAGGGCGTCGCCACAGCGAAGTGAGTGAGTTACGAGTCAGCAAGCTACAAGTAAAGTGAGCAGAGAAGTGAGTTGCAAATATGCAAGCTATAAGTTTAATTGTGTTAACAAGTTTTGTAAAGCGTTGTATTGCTTTAACAAGTATTGTAAAGTGTTTTTACCGTATTAGCGGGTACTGTAAATTGTTTGTTGTACAATAAAGTTAATTGTACTACAATTTGGTCATCGTTAGCATTTATTTAACAATCCAGAGATACGAAACGAAAGATATTTGGGAAATCCCTCGAGGTTTCAAGGATAATCGTAACAATTGGTGTCAGAAGTGGGATTTTTAAATAAATCCCGAATGAGGAACTACTAAAAATGGCGAAAATTTAGGACTTAAAAATTGAGGAGCTGAAACAGGAGTTGGAAAAGCGTAATTTGGCCACCTCCGGAAGAAAAGTGGAATTGTTATCCCGGTTGCGAGAGGTATGGAAGCTGAAGGCATCGACGTGAACAAATACGACTTCCAGGGTAAACCCGACGATGCATCCGCAAACGACGAACAGAAGGATGAGGCTGCATGTTCGTCGAAGGATGTGCATCAGACATCCGGGAAGGTTGAAGAACAGCAAAAGGCTCCTTCGTCATCAACAGCTATGGACATGAACACGTTATTGGCTGCCATGTCACAGATAATGCATGCACAGGATACACGCATGTCACAGATGTCATGACAGCTGTTGTCACAGATACAAGCGCTGGAGACACGTATATCTTCAGAGGTATCAGCGCAGGTGTCATCGCAGGTGTCATCCCATTTAGAAACTCAGCTACAGGATAAAAAAATTACATGACAAACTTGAAGAGAGACAGGAGAAAGTCGAAGCAAAGGTAGAAGAATTGGAAGGTCGTCTTCGTGATTTACAGTTGAATCGTCCAGTTACTTCGACGAACGCTCCTAAGGTAAATACCCCATCTTTTGACGGCACGATTCCTTTCCAGGTCTTTAACACTAACGGCTACAGCAAATCGTTGGAGCATGGAGGATAAATCTGCTGCGTTATTTGTCGCATTAAAAGGACCTGCAGCGGAAATCTTGCAGACTATTCCGGACTGCGAAAGGAACAATTACAACGCGTTAATGGGTGCAGTGGAAAGACGTTATGGTAGCGAGCACCGGCGACAGATCTACCAGATCGTGAAACGGCGGCGCTCCTAAGTAGACCAGCGTACAAAGCCCATCGAGTGGAAGTGGAGACACCGGACGAGACAAATGAAATGCTGAAGAAGCTAATCCAACCGCTGGTCGAGAAAAAGCATGGATCTGGCAATTGTTTTAAATGTGGAAAGCCAGGTCACTTCACCCGCGATTGCAGTGCAAGTTCCAATGGGCTCAACAATTCAGTAGCGCGCAAACGCAGGGCTGAGGGAGACGAATCCAACTCCAATCAGTCGTTAAACTAAAACGAGCCAGCACGAGGGGCCGCGTGCTGGCTTCAGAAGTTGAAGGGCCCATAATCTCCGTCTCTCAAATTGGCCGGAATGCGAGCAACCTCACTATTGGGGGATGTGTGAATGGGCAGGTGCGAGTGCTGACAGTGGATACTGGATCGTTACATTCCATTATTCGACCTGATGTGACTACTTTTTATGTGAAGCCACTACCTGGGGCAAAGCTGCAGTCTGCAACTGGTGAGCGAACCCAAATGTTAGGAGAAGTACTTTGCGAGGTAATAATCGACGGGTTGGCCTCGTACACGAAGTTTATTGTGGCAGACATTGTGGATGAAGTCATCATCAGCGTGGATTTCCTACTTGGGCGAGGCATGATGATTGACCTCCAGGGAATGATCCTAACCTATGGCGACAGGAAAGTGCCACTTGGGGTTGGTTATGACAACCAGTGCTTCAGCAGACGGTTGGTCTTAGAGGAAGTGCCGAAGATTCCACCAGAAACGGAAGTGGTTAGTTGGGCAGATGTTGACAGAGATGGAGACGAAATGGTTTCGTCAGGAGAAGGAAGTGGTTCACCGCTACAGGAAAAGCGTGACGGTTCCACCAGCTCAGTGAAGAAGAGATCGCAACAAGGAAGTAGTCATGGTGAGCCAGGAAGTGATTCCGGCAGGAGGAAAGCCACTGAACCACGTTGCAATGGTGATACGCCGGTGGCCGGAAATGGAAGCGGCTGTGGAAGCAGTAGGCGCGCTTTGAAGTGTACAGAAAAAGGTGGTTGGCAAAGGCGAGCAGTTAAGCCGGAAGCCAAGGGTGAGATTACACATGTCCGGTCAATGAAGTTAGCATCGGCGGAAGAGCGAAATACGAAACGACGGCGGAAGCTTCAGCGTAAGGATCCGGATGTAGCAAGATGTGCTAACGGCAGTGCAGCACGAAGGCGGGAGCCTGGGTATCATGAACAGATGATGCGGCATGGATCTGGCGAAAAGGGTGCCGACGAGAAAAGGCATGGTCTGGTCACCACCAGTGGCCGGCAGAAGCACGACCATGTGAGATGGTGCACTCCCGGAGATAAGCCGGAAGCAATGTCCTGTAACGCATGGTAGTTGTACTTGTCGCAGCAGAAGAAAAGCTTCAACTCCAAGCAATGACGTGACTGGAAACATTCGAAGATTAACAAACGGCTGAAGGACGCAGTACGTCAAATCCAGACAATGGAGAGACCGAGGACCAAGATGAAAGTGGTCCACCTGAAAAGACTTGCAGCGGTTGGAGCGGCAAGTATGTCTGATGGGGCCGATCAGACTTAGGTGGAGGGCAGTGTGGTGAATACAGCGGCAATACAAAGCGAACAACGAGAAATAGGCAGAATGTTCGAGTAATGACGTAGAATGTTCCACAAAGAGAAACGTCAAGTTGGATGAACACTGCGAACAGCGAGAGAAAGAGAATGTGCGATAAACTTCAGAACGTTCTAGAGTTGCCATAAGTGCGAGCGCAGGTATATAAGGGCGCCGCCACAGCGAAGTGAGTGAGTTACGAGGCAGCAAGCTACAAGTAAGCTATAAGTTTAATTGTATTAACAATTTTATTAAAGCGTTGTATTGCTTTAACAAGTATTGTAAGTGTTTTTACTGTATTAGCGAGTATTGTAAATTGTTTGTTGTACAATAAAGTTAACTGTACTACAATTTGGTCATCGTTAGCATTTATTTAACAATCCAGAGATACGAACCGAAGGATATTTGGGAAATCCCTCGAGGTTTCAAGGATAAACGTAACAGTATGTTGCCGCATAACTTTGGACCACGTTAACCGATTACTATAATTCTTTTTTAAAGGAAAGGTGTTACTTGACAGGTGGTCTCATTTGGTTTAAATCTG